AACACTTTTGGATATTTCACGTATTTTTGTAGTTGAATTAGAGGCGCTCTACTTTGAACAACTTTTTTTAGAGTTGGCGATCTTTCGAATGTCGATTTTTTTTCTAGGTTCGCATTACTCACGAAGCAACACAGATAATGCCCTTAGTCCTATAAGAACACTCAGTAAATTATCTTGTTTTAAGTTTCAAACAAAGTAAATCAGCCGCCGATGAATTCGCTGATATTTCGAGCGCCAGCGAAGGGCCAACACTCGAAATCACAACACGAGAGCGGCGAATTTACTTTTATGTGGCTGACAACAAATTTATTAACGCGCAAGCATTTTAAGAATACTTTCGCTGATACGTGTGACGCATTTTCCTGTTATTGGTTTTGGTTTATAATCCATATTAGTATCACCCAACTAGTGGACTAATGCAAATCCTGCATTTTGATTGGCTACGCTACTAGAGGACTATTAGCAATAGTCCTCGAGTAGCGAAATTGGCGCAATCGAGCGTGACGCTTTCTTTRGTTTTATTCCCAAATAAATATTTCTTCAACTTGCATTTGCTAACTTTATTATTGCCTTTTCTGTCCGACTAGTTGGGTGATACTAAAACAATTAGACCCGTAGCCCGCAAGGGCTACGGGTCTAATTGTTAATTCATGAGAGATTGATGAATTCGTTTCATTTCAAACAGTTCGTCAACGTGTCATGATGTCCAGTGGCCTCTCCCTTTCCACCACCAAGTTCATACGCTTGAAGAGTAAAGAAACCTCTTGAATACAACTGTCAGCTCCAAAGCAGTTTAAATATTGGTGAGTACCTATTCCTGCATATTCCTGAACATTTATACGTCAAATTTGCCGTCTGTCGAAATTTAAATTCGCTCGTTGAAGTTTACACGCGGCGAGCTTTCGAAATTCAGAACAGTGCTCCTGAACTTAAAATGAATTGACTGAGCTGAGCTGGACGGCAAGACTCCGCGCCAGAAAAGCAATTTTGATAAGGAATATTTTGTTGTCAAATTTTTGCTCTTGCAAAATAGTTTTCAGTGACCACGTGTTGAATTTTATATGTCGGCATTCTGGACGTTATCTTATGATTTTTTTTTTTTTGAATTGGCGTTTATTACGTCCATTGTTAAACTTACGTAACTAAATTCAATTGTATTTTAATGAAAAAAGACCGTCTTACTGGCAAAGATTGTTATAACTGGAGTTTACTATTTATCCGAGTTTGCGAGTTTTTGTCATAGCGAAGTTCTCGGCACTGAGAGTTTATTGGTAATCGTATTCAAACGTTCTTGTTTCATTTTAGCGATGATCTAATCATGTTTTTTTTATTTCTTTCTTGTATAGAAAAGTAAAGACGAGATTGAGAAGACGCGGGATGACGGAAGAAAATTCATTGCTGGAGAAGATAAGACTTAATCATAAAGATACTAGCTGCAATGTAAAATAGTGGCTTACAAGAGAGAGAAAGTTCGCTCCATAATTAATGCCTTGAAAATCATGTCATTTTAAACCTCATTTTCCTTTTGGAAAATTCGAACTGGATCGTCTTGTTCTCAAAAATGCTCAAAAATACTCATTTACTCCAAATTGATAGCTCGAGCCACTATTTTACATAGTTAAGGGGAAACATGTTGAGGTGGCACTGCATTTTGATAGCTTTTTCAGTACCTCGTTCAAAATAGCAAATCTCTTTAATGATTAGCATAGATTTCTTACAGTATCAGTGCTGAGAATACGGAAGTACATCAAGTCATCAAGACAGCATCTTCTGAAGGAGAATTTTCTTTATTTTTGACAACACAATGACATCGCAGAAACGAATTGTCTTGATTATTTTTGAAAAAAAATTTCCCGTGTTGTCGCTGTTTGGGATTAAGGGGTAGATATTGGGACTATCGAGTGCCACTTTAACATTCCCATGGAAACGTAGACACACGAGAACATGGGAACGTATAAACAATAAAAAATAAACTCGGTTGGCCAAGAAATAAGTCCTCTTTCTAGTCGTGATTGGATAAGATTTTTATTCATTAAATTGCTCTTATTATTTTTGTTGAAATCGAAGATAAAAGAGTACACGAAGGATACCAAACGTGCCCATGTTCTCTTCAAGTTGTAATTCTGGGTGTAATCATTACGTATGTCTGGTTCTTAAAAAGCTTAAAAAGATCAAGGAAATCTATTAAGTACTAGCATCGTCCAAAAGAAGTCGCCTTACGATTGGCTACCTGGTTCGCGGTGAGACGTAAATACCAATTCGTATCGAATCAAATTTTATATTTTATAAATACCGTACAATTTGTGGAAATCAATTGTCTTGATTGCTAAATTTCATGTGGCCAAAAAATACCGATCGATATATTTTCTATTTCTTTTACAACTTGTCAAGTTTTTCATCGCAAATTTGCAACCTATGAATTACAGAAAACATCGTGACTTAATTGAATTCTGTAATTTAGACCACGTTGTCCTACAAACTGTTCACTTGCAGAAATTTGCATGATTTTCATCCAAAACCAGTCAGTGAAGTTTATTTTGAGATAAATTATTTTTGGAACTTTTTTCAAGGTCTAAGAAAAAAAATATTTTTTTTAAATTGGTTTTCAGTTGTAAGACTTCATGTAATTAAAACTATATTGAAATTACTAATCTTCACGCCAAAATCTATCAGATAGTTTTCGGATCAGCTTGTTTGGCTGCTGTCGTGACTAAATAGGTACAAGTTTCTGATAATTTCTTGAAGCCTTTTTCCAAAATGAGACTTTGCTGTTTAGAAAGCTTTTTTTCTTTCGAGCATAAAAACGACACTTTAATTTTTTTCTTTGACAATTCATGAATACTTCTCATCGGTAATTTTACACGGAGGCATTTTAGTTTCATACAAATGTTTCGATAAAAAGCGATTATAAATCAATTTCGGTGCTTTATCTGTTTGGCTTTTGTGTAATTTTCGTGGTTCATGTGATCTCTTGGAATGTCCAGATTCTAAACAAATGTTTGATGTTAAACAAAAACGCTGCTCAATTTTAATGTTCTTTGAACCAGACGTTTCGTAATGATATTAAGGACTTAGTTTAACCTGTTAAAAGCAAGTTTGGAAATAGCATTTCTCCTTACTTTTTGCCCCACATTTTGTTAATCTTAGTTCGGATAATTTGGTAGTTTTGTCTCAAAACATCCCTTAGTCGATGGTTTCTATATTCTCGTTACCTCTCTCTTGACATTTTGATGATCTTGTAAGGAGAAAATCGCTGTTTGCCATTCTTGGGTTTTAAGATGTTAAGCTTGGTTGTTTAATAAGACAAGATAACAGAGCGAAACGAGGACGCGAAATGAAATCGGAGAAGAAAATTGTTAACTAACTTTGGCATAATTTTTTCCAAAACGCTCATATAACAGGGTCGGGTTGAAATTGGCAGACATTCGAATGGTTTTAGCTCTGTATCATGTCTTGTTTTACAAACACTGTCCTTTATTTTGTCGAGTGAAACGGTCGAAAGGACAACATGGCAATCTATTACAGAGACTGAGATATTTTGATTTGCCCAACGTGAAAAAATGTATAATCGATTAAAGATTGAAGTAAAAATTTTCCAAAATACATCGGTCGGGTTTTCGTTGAACGGTTGTGAAAGCGGGCGGATTTATTTTCTCTAATTGGTCACAAATTAATTTATATCTTGCCATGTAGTACTTGTAGACCGTTTCGCTTTTTTCCCGCCATTTTGAACTATGTGTAAACATGGCGTTGAACAGTGTTTGTTTGGTAATACGATGTCAAATAATTTCCGTGAAGTTTAATTTCTGAATTATTCACAGTCTGTAGACTTTGGATATTTGGCAAAATGTTTTACTGGTATCTTTGAGGAATGAAGCTGAACTGGAAAGCGTGTAATTGAGTTTTCATACGTTTGTAACAATTGGCTGGATTTTTTTCTCCAAAATATGATTTAATCTTGCACAAAAATGTTGGAAAACTTTAAACGCAGTTACACGCTTTCCAGAACAGTTTCAAACCTCATAGTTGGCCGGTAAAATATTTTGTCATTTATCTTAAGTCTTCAGACTGTGAATAATTCAGTTATTAAATTTCACAGAAATTATTTGACTTCGTATTACCAAACAAACGTTGTATTTCTCGCCATGTTCGCACATCGTTCAAAATAGCGGAAAATGTCTAGTTTGTTGTATACACCATCTTGAAAGAAATTTTTACGAATGAACGGTTATATTCAAAAATTGTAATAGTTTTTGTGCGTGATGGTGTAATAAGTTTTTTGGGGAAAAAGTTTTCAGTTTGACTCCTTATTGTTTTTGTCTTGAAAATGTTGTCAGGGGAAACGCTGTGCAAATTTTCTTAAATTTCCCGCCAAAAGTCTTAGTTTTTGGACGAGAAATTTCTTGTCACACCTTGTAATTAAATTTAACTAATTTTTAATTAATTAATTAGTTACTTATCGCAAAACAATACAATAAAATGAAATGAAAACAGCAAGTGGAGGTTCTTATTGTGTACATTGTCTTAACATTGTTAAAAATATTAATACGAATGACAATAAAAATACTACAGCAAATAGAAATCAATTACACACGCGTCTTCAATATAACTTTTATTGCCTTTTCAATAATATAATTAAAATTCACTTACAAACAATTTGAATAAGTAAAAAAAATTTTAAAAAATTGCGCTTTTAAAAGGGCCTGGAAACTAGTCGGAATGTAGGCTATCTCTTTTACTATTTTTTGACTATGTAGGGTTGCCGAATAGAAAAAAAATTCTGCGCTTTTGAACAGAGTCTAGCCAGAAATCAAACATATACTTTGACTTTTGATGGGAAAAATTCTACAGAGTGCAAGATTTTTTCCGCCAAAAGACTTAGTATAAATTTGACTCAAAACCAGACACCATTTAAAATTGCAGACTTTTTTTTCCAAGAACAATTTTTTTCTTTCTAAGCCCTTTTAAAAGCGCAACCTTTCAATAAATCCAATACTTCCTTGAAAACAGGTAAGATTTTATTAAATTCGTGAAATTGATTCTAGACAATTATACAGTAATTTCGTTGAGTTGTTTGACTTAATAAAGATTACTGAATTTAGTTTAACGGGTTTCGTGAAAAAGCTGACAAGCCTACCAGGCTTGAAAAATCTTATCGCAAAAAATTAATCGAGATAAACGAATATCAGCTATATTGCGTTCAAAGCGACGGACTTGTAATTCAATCCACTGCTTGCTCGAAAACTAACAAGATTTTACTAAACCCGTGAAATAGTCACAAAAGCTCCGATAATTTCTTTGGGCTCTAGAGTTTTGTGAAATACAGTCTTGTAGCAAGAAAACCTATCGTGATAAATCTAAGTCTACCTCGTTTATGATACATGATCCACTGATGAAACATCTAAATGACGCAGTTTGGTTTCCTTTGCTTCTTTCTCCATGTTAATGCTGATGCCGGGTGATGTACACTGGAGATGGCAGCCTGAAAGAAATATCAATACAAAGACAAATTAAACATACGAAAGCACTAAACATTGACAATTGTACATATATGAGTTTACATAATGACTTTAAGAACAACTTTGAGCGCAAAAAAAAAGCAACACGAAATAATAAGGCCCGGCTAGATTACAATATTCTAAAATTAACCTTTATTTGTAGGGTTTAAGCTTGGCAAAACGGCACGCTCAAAATTCCACGGGTAAAATGTCGCCTACAACACTGGCAATATTTGCATTTTTCTTCTTTACGAGGATGAATTTAAATTGTCTCTGATCTTTAACAACTAGTGAAAGCAAACATTGTAGCTTGACACTTTTGAAGTAAACGTTATATAATTTTTCCTGACGCTTCTACCAAACGAATCGCAAGACTTAAAGTTTGTTTGTAATCCAAAATGTTGTTCAGTACATTACTCGCGCGAACAAGCGAAAACCGTTTTCACCTATTAGACTTCAGCGTCATGCATTTCTGCTTTTGAATGAAGTTTAAAACCAAAGGGGCAGGGCGTGACAATTACAATTAAATACATGAGATTGTTTTGTTTTTTCACCTTGATCTGGCGACCCTACAAAAAGGGCTAAATCTGACAAAATCCTGATTATGTTTACAAAAAAATTAAACTGTTTTTATGAATCTTACTCTACGGCTGAAAATTTAATATTTCCACTTTGAGAGCTATTAAGTATTTCAAGAACGTTTGCCAGTAACATCAGAAATCACAAAAAGAAATCAACAACATGCATGTAGGCACACAAGGCGTGCTTTCTGAATGCTAAAAAACGTGTCATTGGACTGTCGAGTACTGGATTTTCAAGGATGTGAAAAATTCAGTGCATGATAGAGGAACAGATATTTAAGTAGAGTTCCAAATATTAATTCTTAGATTAATGCAATAAGTGTTCTTGGTTATGAGGAACAGCAGAGAAACAGTTTGAGAATTTATGACGTACACTGAATAGCGATAAGCCTTGCGTTTTATTGAAAAAAAAAATCTGGCGAGCTGGCCCGTCATGATTTGTGCTGAGAAACTTCCGCGTCAAGTCAAGTGGATGATGATTTTTGCAAATGCAGCATCATAATATTTTTCTCATCTTGCAAACACGGTCGGCTTTGGCGACATTAATGGTCCCTTTCACATTTAAATTTCCGCGTTATCAATCTCTCTTCTCATCACTTGCTTTACTCAGAGTCCTTAGTCAACATACAAATTCTTGTTACTGGTTTTAAATTTCTAATAGTTTTGCTAAAAGTCAACGCAATTTCTTTTTTTGGGATCATGTTCTCAATTCGCCTAACTATTCCTTATAATTATTAATTTTTGAGACCGCGAGAAGAAATATTAAGCTGATCACCCATGAGGCTAAATGGTAAAGAAGAGAAATTGATTGTTGATCCAATTGGTTTCCTCATCCCCCCAAAAAATATGCTTCAACAACGGTACCCCAGGGATTGTAATATTAATGAATGTTTGTATACCCTACCCCTGAGGGGCTAGGATATCTGGCCACATTAAAATTGTTTCTTCAATTTCTTTTCTGCCTGCATTGTGTGCCATTATTCCTCGACAAGTACAGGTACTATGAAGTAATTAATAACCCCTCCAACCAAACACAAAGAAAAGTGAGACTCACCGAGTATGGGATCCAATGTCTATATTTGATGTCGTTCTTCTTTCTTTTCTTCTATCTTTGTATCTAGTGAGAAAGAGCAAGTGTTTTAACCTTTGTGCGGCCAAGTGTTCTCTAATACGTTTTACAAACTCCAAAGTTCAAAAGAGTCATCACACTTTTAAAGTTTCAACCCTGCAGGGGGAGTTTCGACAAATAAAGGCAAGGTTAAGTCTGAGTCAGGCCAAGGGATCAATCCTGCTGCAACTTATCCCAGTTTCTGAGGCATTAACTGAAAAGGAGCATTTCTACTCCCCCCTGGATGGGATGCTAGTCTGTCACAGGGTTAAACCCCGGCATTAAATTCACCCAGAACCCATTTGTACACCTAGTCGGAGAGAGGCACTGTGAGAGTAAAGTTTCTTACCCAAGAACATTATTAATGCTATGACCCTAACCACTAGTTCAAACCAAAGACTGCATGACCTGCAGTCCAGTGCCCTAGACATTAGACCAGCGTCTTTCTCATTTTCCACAAAACAAATGGCAACTATTTACATACCAAATTTGTCATGATCGAATCAAGAAGATATCAGAGTTGCATTGTACATAGTGCCTCATTATTTGTAGAGAACAAAAACAATATCCTTTTCAAATACTTTTGTAACATTCAAATGATTCTTGTTCATTATTTTCTGTAAGAAGAACAACAAAAGACAGGCCTGTGAAGATATTTTGTACCTTCTAGTAAAAAATGATTTTTTTAAAAAAAAATTGGTACTCTGGAAAAGATGGAATCTTCTTCACTAAGAACTTCACAAAACATATCGCCAAACTAAAAATGCATATCTTACCTTAAATTATATTTGATGCAAAATTCAGAGGGTGGTTTAATTTTTATGCCCTTAGTCAATATACAAATTCCCCTTATTTATGTACATAGTATTGCTAATATCAACAGAATTTCTTTTTGAGATCACTTTCTCAATATTCTCTTTAACTTATAATTTCTTCACGATTATGTTTGATACTGTATTTTTTTAAATCTTAATTTTAGAAATGTTAAGCTGATCACCCATGAAGCAACATAGACTGTTGCTCAACATTAATTGGGTCCCTTCCCCAGCAAAAGAATAGTCATCAACAACAGTACTCCATTGTATAAGGTCAGTGCTACAAACCAGTTTGTTTACACAGATTCCTCCCTTCAAGTATAATGTAGAGTGTAATATATTTACTAGATGCTTCGTTTTGCGTGTTTGATAATAATTTGGTACCACATGAAAAAATTTTAAACTTTAAATTTTTAAAGCTCCTTTAACATGGCTACATTAATCTCTCCTACTGATTTTGTTCAATTTTCCAAAGAATCTGTTGCAAGTGTTTGATTTTCTTTATTGAATCTGGTTGCCTGACATAGCTAAGATGCAACTATGATACAGTTATTAGGCAAAAGTATGAACTAACCTGGCTAGTGCAATGCCCTCTCAGGTATTCCATCCATGTACACTTCAAGATACCCCTTCATGTTTGGCTTAGCTTGCATTTTGTCCTGCTAGCAAGAAAAAAAAGGCAATAACATTAGGAACAGTTACTGTAACTTTTTAGAAGACAACAATCCATGAAAGAAGCTTGCACCAAGAGCTACTTCATACTTCTATAATTTGAGTGAAACAGAGAACTAAACACAAGCTGTTAATGTAATGACGGCACAGTGAAAAGTGAAAAAAGTTACAACTGTGTTTTCCTTTATTTTTCTGGAAGTGTTTCTATCAAGTTATAGAACCACTCAAGAAAGCGTGGGAGAATTCAAAAATGTAGTGGAAAATCTTGCCTGCAACTTGTGTTCCCTCAGCATTTGTCATTAGGGGAGGGAGGAGGGTAATGGGCCAATGCACAGTCATTTTGCATCAGGTCTACATTTTGTACCCAGTCTGGAACAGTCTGCAGTCTGCAGTCTGCACTTTGTACCTACTCTGCAGTCTGCAGTCTGCATTTTGTACCAAGTCTGCATCTTCTACCCGGTCTGCAGTTTGGGGCCTGCATTTTGTAGCTGGTCTGCAGTTGGTGATGGACAGAACACTGACCCCTAGTCCATGGACTATCCTAATGGACTACTCAAATGGACTACCCTAAAATGGACTATCCCTAAAAAATACTATTTCAGATGAGTGGTATGCTAAGAAGCTGCGATTATATACTTACACTGCATGGAGGATGCTTTTCTTTTCGTTCCGCATCGCCTTCAGCCGCCATTTTGAATAACTACACTGAATAAAACAACCGCTGTACACAAAAAGTGTAGACTCAAATCAAATCAAATATTCGGTGGACAACTCAATCTTGCTCCCATGTGATTCAGTAGCTCAGTCTTTCTTGAACAGACGAAATGATCTTCAGGATGTTACTCATGATTTGTTTTGCTTGTTTTGTGCCAAAAATTATGGCACAGAAGCCGCTAGTCTTCTGGAATGAGGATAAAGCTATGGGACAGCAAAAAATTCCAACAACTACGCTACAAAAATTCAGAGTGGAGTGGAAGCAGTATTATTCTTGGCTGGCCTGGACTATAATTATGTGGAAATTTTTGTGGTTTTGTGAGACTCAGTTCAAAATGGCGGCTGAAGGCGATGCGGAACGAAAAGAAAAGCATCCTCCGCGCAGTGTAAGTATAAAAATCGCAGCTTCTTAACATACCACTCATCTGAAATAGTATTTTTTAGGGGTAGTCCATTTTAGGGTAGTCCATTTGGTTAGTCCATTAGGGTAGTCCATGGACTAGGGGTCAGTGTTTTGTCCATCACCTCTGCAGTTTGCAGTCTGCATTTAGTACCCAGTCTGCAGTCTCAGCATTTTGCACCGAGTCTGCATTTTTGTAACTAGTCTGCAGTTTGCAGTCCGAATTTTGTTCACAACTTTAAGCTGAAGTTTATCTTTCAGAGTCTTTCTAAGCTGTCAGAAAATTTTACAGAACTCGGATCTCAGCTACCAGCTAAAAATTGTTTCATTTCTCAGCTGACAGTTCATTTTAACCGATTCTCGGCCATCAGTTAAACCGGGTTAAAGCCAATCCTTATCCCTGACATTCTTGGCGTCATTTTGAGTTTCATTTTGACGTGCCAGACAAGCCAAACTTGGTCTTTTTGACGGAATTCTGTCCATTTTTCCCGTTTTCTTGAGCAGCATTACATAATTTCTCCTTTTTAAAAAATTCCATTTGACAATTTTAGATTATTATCTTACCAGAATGACGATGCTTTCAACCGGGAAACTCAACCGCGTCTTTTCAGAATGGCGGGCGGCTGAGCCGCCATTTTGAAAATCTCCAGGAGAAGGCCCTGGGGACGAGGTTGCCGGGAAACGGATCTGAGATGGCGACGTTATGACGTCATTAAAACGTAATAAGATGACGGAGCGAGAGTTAAAACTTCGTTCTGCAGTAACTGAGTAGAAATAATGGAATTTTGAGAACCCCTTGATGGTACATTCATCAAGTCAATCTGCCGCTTTTGATATTTCCTTTCAAGATAGCAACCTATTGTAGTTTTACCATAACTGACATACCGTAAATCCTCGAATTAGCGCCTCCCCCCAAATAGGCGTCCCCTTCAAATGAGCGCCTCTCCTATAGGCCAAAATTTAAAGTAAGCGCCTCCCCTCGAAGAATCGCCCCCTTCCCCTCCCCCTACGGAAAAGTACTAAGACAAGAAAGGATGTACAGCCTTGGTCATTTCAAGAGAAAATGAGGTCATGGCCTCTTGGTCATTTTCAATCATAAGTAAATGGTTACCGACTCATTCAAGCACTGCACATTGACCGTCGCAAAGGATGGCAGTAAAGATCGGCTGATATATCGCCTAAAGCCCAACAACCTTATGCAGTAGGTCTAGACCGGCTAAAGGGGTTATATTATGTAGTTCTTCAAGAGAGACAGGATCCTTCTGAGACTTCTGAGGGAGTGACACATACATACATTGCAAAAAGAAACCGATCATAACTGACCACGATTTGGGAAAAATTAAATAAGCGCCCCCTCGATTAAGCGCCTCCCTCGAATAAGCACCCCTCGTCTTCTCCTAAATTTTAAATAAGCGCCCCGGGCGCTAATTCGAAGATTTACGGTAAGCAAAAAAGAAGATTGAACTCACAAAAATTTCTGACCTTGCAATACAAGCAAAGTCAGTCATTCAAAACTGAGTTCATTTCGTTCTACAGAAGTAAAATTCAGAGTTTTGTAACCCTATTCAATATGATATCATTAATGAAACTTTAACCAAACGTTCTCATTTGTCGCAATCATTGAAAACCACTCTTTCGAGTTAAAAAACTAGCCTGGTACAAAATTGCAAACTTAGAGTGCTTGTCAAACGGAACAACGAGTGCTGAAGTACTGAGATAAATACTACAACGTCTAAAACGAAAAGCAAAGCGGATGTACAGCTAAGTAAGTTACCTCTTGTAGAGATACGGCCCAAATCAGTTTATCTCGGTCTACCGATGCCATGCGCTCATTTCACCAGAGGTTGCAACATCAGTTTGTGAAGCGGCAAACAACGGGATTACTTCAGACGAATAGGTTGCTCTAAGAAACTGCTTGATACAGAGGGAAATGTTTTCGAAAATTCAGTGCTTCCATTTTGCATTTCTTGTACAAACCGCGTGCAAAGGTGACATCAAAAATTGAATAAAATTAAAAGGAAATTTTAAATTCAAATGAATTCTACGAATAGTGATTTGCATATTGGCACCCCAGGAAGATAAGGCGCACCCCGGAAAAGAATGAAAATGCTAAATGAAAAACAAGAGACCCTCTACAAAATAAATTCTGGACTCCTAATAGGAGTTAACTGCGCGCATGTAGAGGCGCGGGGGAAGGAAGGCGGAAGGTCAGCTGTGTTGCCTGGTTCTTGATGGAAAAAAGAGTCGAGCTAGAGTGTGATGGTGGGTTGGGTGGGGGGGTCGACAATTCGGGCGTTACGTTTTTCAGAAAGAAAGGTGGCAGGCTCCATCGATCACTCCTCTCGAATTCGCCACTGAAGAAATGCAATGGACTATTTAGAAATGGATGGTCCGCTCAAAGTTCGTGAGAAACGGTAACAAAATGAAGTTTGGAATCACAACATAACTTATCGGAATTCAGCTTTGTCTGACTCGCTTATGTTTGAAATATTTTGTGAATACAGTTTATTATATGGCTAGCTCCGTGAGCGCGCAAGATGAATCAAATCCTGCGCTGTGATTGGCTACCCGAGCGGGCGAGATGGAGCTATCTTGCCCGCTCGGGACTACCCGCCATGTCCCGCAAGNGACTCCGTCTCGGTCCATAAACTCCCAAAAAAAGAACTTGGCCAATATCCAGCCATCTTGACCTCACACTTAGTCAATAACTCATATATATTTTTCTTTGACTACGTTTTGGAGTCTTGTTGAGCCGGGGCAACTACAGGCTATGAGCGTCCCTGACCAATACAGAAAGAAAACTTTGTGGACTGGGGCTAGGTTTGGAAGTCAGCACAGTAATTCGATTTTAATTCTGATACACAACTGGTCAGATTGTTCAGTTTATTTAGTTCTTCATTTCAAACTGGTTATTAAAGTAAATCACGAGATCACATGTACAGTAGAAGTTACGTTTAAGAAAAAAGATCCTTTAATTAATTCATTATCACGATTTTTAAAGGGGGCCAGGAGGGGGCCTTCGCCTTATTTGCCATCGGCGGTTTCAATGAATTTTGGAACACGGGATTTGGCTATAAAGTCAAGTTATTTTTAATATCCCTTTCTTCAACTTTTCCAGTCACGCAGATTTTACTGCCTATGGCAAAAATATTTGTAGCCTTTATAACACATAACATTCTTGCATTTTGGAGGACAGCATATTTACACAATAACGATATTTTATCGGTGCTTTATCTTTTGGTAACTTATCTTCTATCCTAAATGGCCGCCATGGATTGAGTTCTATTAAACTCTCCTATTCAATCCCAATTATTTGGGTGGGGAACTGGCGGGGTGGGGGGAGGGGGGGAAATTAGGTAGTAGGGCTTCTTCTTTTCCTATGCAAAAGTTGTTTTAGAAGATTTCTCCGGTCGTTTCTCCCTGTAGTCTTCTCCATACCACGCGATTAGACGTTTCTTAGTGTCCCCTGGGATCCCCTGATATTGTCGATCGTTGATTGTCACATTAGAGAAGCCATTGAACCATTCCTCTGGGGAGGGGTACATGTCAACAAAACGTCTCTCCTCTGTGTTGTCGGCGATAGGAAAAAGCTTTTTCATCTCGAGTAAAATTTTCTGATCAAACAGAATTTTGCTTTCTAGGCTATCTCCCTCAAAATATTTGTCAGTGTTGACATCAACAGACGCAGCGAAATAAGGATACACCCGACTCATAGGGGGCTTTGCCTTCCAAGCGACGCGATATTTGGATCCAATGTGGGTTTGAAGAACAATAAATCTTGAGTAGTTATCGTTGTCCTTTTGGCGAACAGCCAAATCGATATCGTCCGAATATGGGATGATCGCTCCAGACCTTGCTGCGCCAAGCAGAGTTCCATACGTTGCGCGGTACTCCATTCCAATTTCGTCCATTGCTTTAACGGTCGCGACTAAAAGCTTGTCCATAAGAACGTCACAGCAGATCGGAAAGCCATCGGTGACGAGTGAATTTGACGATCGCGCAGCCGTCGGCTTTTCGGGGCAGAGCTCGGCGTCGTCGGAGCACTTGGTCCACTCTATCTTATTCGGCAGCACAATGCGTAGAATTGAGTGGAACTGGCCTAGTTTTGAATAGTCTGCGAACTCTTTACTGCCTTCTAAGCTGCCCCTATCAATGTAATTCAGAGATTGGCCCAAATAACAGTTGGATAATTTCGCTATTTTCAACGTTCCTTTGGATCTTATAAAGAAATCAAGATGGCTCAAACTTCCGTAGTCTGATCTCCACCTCAATTCTAGAAAGTGCTTTTTGCGAATCAGAAATGCGTTCTCAGTGATACTGCACTCCTGATATTCCTCGCCCTGTTTCGCACCTTGAAGTTTGTGAATCTTTCCCGAATTGCGAATGACCAGCGTCCAGTTTTTCAATAGGAATCGGCAAGCGCTTTGCTCGAGCAACTTTTTGCTTTCATCCGGTCCTTTTATTTGGATTTGACTAGTTACTCCAGTCGCTCCATCGAACTCTGGGTGCTTATCAAGAAAGCCTGTCAGCGTGCGTACAGTGTCTCGATCGCTAGGCGTAGACAGACCACCAATACCCTCACGCATTTGCTTTGAATCCAACCCATGAGGAACAATCATTACGTATTTCACGACCTCGCTTGTTAAACTGATCTCCATTGATTCCTCGGGCTCGTAATTTGAGCCGATAATTCTAACAGAGGCTGTGTAGTCAGATAAGTTGCTTGTTTGAACGTGGCCAAAGAGTTTGTCTACTAAAGGAGAACTGGACGAGCCCTGAGTCAGAAGATACCACAGGTTCCTCACGCAAAGACACAGGATCACCACTATAAGTGTTAGGGACACATAGTGCCACTTTTTCAGCATTGTGAAGGCTCTGATTTGTTGGCGTTTGGCCTGTTTGAAGATAAATAGTATTAAGAAATAAATTGTTTGCAACAGTTGTTTCCAAGCGCCAAAAACTTCATTCTGCCTTGTAAGGGAATACGGAACGGGGAAGTGGGAGAAGTCGGGAGAAAGATAGGCGTCAGGGGATAGGGGACATAAAACAGGGGACTGGGAACTGTGGAGGATGGACAGAGGAAAGGCAGTAGGGGCCCCGGAGGTAGGGGATCGTATGTTACTTAAAACTACAAAATTCATGCTAAAGACAATTCGATAGACTGTTAACAATATCGAATCCTAAATGCCAGTTTACCCCAATAAAGGTACGATCGTACTGTCGTAGATTTTGACGACTTTGAAAACTCTCCCCAGCTTGCGCTCGCCTTGCAAAAACAAGATGGCGGCCGTTTGAAGTTAAAGGTACACGTCAGCGAACATTCAGGTATATGAAGGTCTGTTCTAATGACTAAAATAAAAGTTAGACGCGTGCGACAGAGGCGGCAACGAACGGTTTCACCCGCGTATACCACCCCATTACAGGAATTACGGCCTTACGGAACACGTGCAGCGCCGGGGTGTAGCGCTTGGCCAATCGAAAAGACCCCTAACTTTAACTTACCTCGATCGAGTTGCTATTCTCGGTGAAAGTAAGCAGACGACAGATCGACTTAGATCCTGTACATTCAGTGAGAGAATTCTATAAATTGAAGTCGTATCATGGCAAGTATTAAATCAAAACGTTGAAATTTTCAGAAGCGCAGATATCGAGCACAGCTGGGAAGTCGTATGACGAGGACTGTCGGGAACGAAAGTCGAAAAACCAACGTTTTATGTCACGTACGTTTCTAATTAAACTTGTCACGGTGTGACACCGTGACATTTACTTTCGTCTTTATAGAGGAATATTCCTTCCTTGACGATCGAAGTGAAGAAATGAAAAACCACTAGACCCATAGCGAAAATTATTAGTGAAGTTCATTGAAATGTCCTTTCTTATCCTTGTAATTTTTATAACTCGAAATCTCAGAAAATAAGGAGACAACAACGAACAAATTGAAGTGCCAGCCGACAAGACAGTACCTATAAGTCCAACAAACACGTATCATGTTCCCGACAGCAACCTACCCGTATCTGAAGAAACATCTTGAAAAAATTGGCCAATTTTATCGAATTTGTGGTTTGCAATTTGAGATCTATCCTGGTCTCCATCCTTGCATATTTAGGATTATTCAATTTGAAATTAATTTATCTTCTCAGAAGAACACGGCTTTATATAACTTGACAGCTTCTTTATATCTCCTGTACTAAATAATGTGTCCACGCTCCTTTCGCGCGACAAGATATTGCGTGACTCGCGCACGTGGCTTTGTCAACCACCTGTCACAAACGTACAGGTACCACGTGGTCGGACAAAGCAACTGGCGGGAACATGTGCTGTTTTTGTCAAATCTTTGTTAAAACACTCAAAGAGTTCCCGATTCTTATAATCTAATCAAAAACGAGCACACGCCTCAACGAGCGCTGCAGGTTGCGGGTACATTGCTAACATTATTTATTACACGTTTGGTTTGCGGTTGCACAAAATTTCGGATGATTTTCATATCGGACAAAGAAGTGTCCGAAAATAAAGCCGTCCGAAATTTTCCAACGTTCGAAATTTTAGGCGTCCGAAATATTTACAATACAGTAATAAGCTTTTACGTAGCTCCAAGACCCTTGATTTACTTTTTGGAAGGAACTCTAGTTGACAAACTGCTTGAAATACATAACGTTTACGTCAGGAAACAGTTAAACTATCATTTTCAGCGCTGTTGTTTTAGTATAATTCGAGTTTTTTTACGTGTAAATTTCCTTTAGCTATGTTTCAGCAAAGTGTCCGGAATTTTTGTCCGAAATAAAACGTCCGAAAGTTTTGCAAGTAAGGTATATATTATGTTAGTTGAAAAATGCGGGCGCAACGATTCGTGGGTAAAATCTTAAATTGCTAACAATCTCCTTTTAGTCAGCCAAGAGAGCGAAAGATCCGGTGGCGTAAATGAGCGTACCAGCCGGAAGAGGCGATGGGAAGGGGGGCGGGAGAGGGGGGAGGGGGACCTGGGGAGAAAGGCCGAGACTTCCGACCCATCTGTAACTGTTGGAGGTCCAACGTCCGACCGAGCAGCCGGATGGATCTGGGCTGGAAAGTTAGAGTTAACCGTATTACTTCGCCTTTGCTAGCCAAAACCACATGAACAATGTAACTTTTAGTGTTATTTTATTCTTAGGAAGAGTTTATGCTTTAAGTGGTCAGCGTTCCTTTTCCTGAAAGTCATCGCTGAGCATTTTCCTTAATCTCTAATAGTTTAAGTTCCCTTAAAGTGGTCATCATTATTATTAATTAAGTAACTCTGATTAATATTACTTCTCACTATTTATTTTTTTTCTTTTTCAGCTCGTGGGAAAAAAACTAAGCGCTGAGCAGTTTTAGCAAGAAGAAACCGGGCATTCACTTACTAACATGACCCTAACATTATTTACATATATTACACCACGCACACACTAAATGAAAATTTAAATGAGATAGACTCTAAAATTCGCAAAAGATCCTAACTGACAGTTATCTAGTAAGGAAATCTAACAAACAGAAAGGCTGTTCAGATTTGGTCACTTTTCGTCGAAAAACTCGTGCACGTGTACAGTCTTCTTATGAACACGAAGAGAGCTGGGTTGAGTGAAAGTCTTGTTACACAAGTCACACACGAAAGGTCTTTCTCCTGTGTGAGTTCTAATGTGAGATTTCAGAGCTCCGCGGTCCGCGAACGCTGAGGGGCATGCCGGACAAGGGTATGGCTTCTCGCCAGTGTGGCACCTCACGTGACGCTTCAAGCCGCTGGAGTGCGTGAACTTTTTGAAGCAGTGGCTACAGGAGTATGGCCGCTGACCGGTATGAATGCGCACGTGAACGTGCAGACTGCTATAGGAACTGAAGTTTTTATGGCAGTGTTTACACTGGTATTTCTTTCTCTTCGTTTTTGGAAGACGTTCGTCGGCCGAATCTTGACGCGTTTCTTTCTTGACCTTTGTTAAAGTTTCATTGTTTTTGCTGCAGTCATTGTCACCACCTTCATCATCCTCGGTAGCGTCAATGGAACGTTTCCGCTCTGATGTTCGATTCATAGTCGGAGGACTGTTCGGGTCTCGGCTCCGATCTGTACTCTGAGAATCTTCGGAGCCCGAGAACGCTTTCGACACAACGTTGCTACACATTTCTACTTCAGACTCAATATGCTTGGGCGAACTTTGCCCACAAAATCCAGCACCGCTTCCTTGCTTAAAACTGCATAGTATTCTTGCTGTATCGTGCTCTTCTAAGTCTCTCTCAGGGGAACAATCCGATTGATTCATTTGCTCCGTTTTAACCTTGGTTTCGGTCTCGCTAATGGGAGACGTCGTTGCCGCTGCCTCGCTTGTATCCATTTGCTCGGTGCTTTCGTCATTGAGTTCCTCGTCGCTTGTCCATCCATTTTGATCCTTATGTGTTTTCATATGCGACCGTAGGTATCTGGTCTGTATGAACCCCTTACCACACACTCCGCACTTATGCGGTCTGTCCTCGGTGTGGGTCATCTTGTGGTAGTAATAGGAGCTGTAATATGGAAAGCACCGACCGCAAAGCTCGCACTTGTGCGGCTTAAACCCTGTATGGCTGCGCGTGTGAATTTCTAGCTTGCGGTGATGATCGAAGGTCTTGTGACACAGCGAGCAACAGTAGCGTCCATCCTTGTCCACGACGGCGTGCGAAGAGATGTGATGTTCGAGTTTTTTACCGTTGGTGAATGATTGGCCACACACAAAGCAAAAATTTGCCCCTTCGTCATCCTCAGTTTTCACGCTACTGGTTTTGCCACTGGTGACGCGACATTCGTCTTTCAAGTCGATGTTTGGCTTCTCTTGTTGAGCAGGAAGTTCATGATGTTCTTTGACAACCCGCTGTTGTAATTCTTCTGGGAGGGGGTGTCGAAAATCCCGTCGGATATCTGCACTTTCGATATCGCCCCGTCGGGTTGTCTCCTTTGCTACGGCAGCATCCTGAGGGGTGACACTAATGTTCAGCTCGCGCCGTATCACCGTCTCTCCTTCGCGTGTGAGCGGCACGCTATTGCGGGCGGTCAACTTCAGGCGTTTTCTCTGCATGGCCAACAGCTCGTCGCCACCTTCATGAGACATCAAGTGCTCCAGAAACTCGGAGCGACTGGAGAAATTCTTTTCACAACGAAGACACTGAAGCTCCTGCGCTGAGCCGTGGTAGCAGTCCAAATGAATCTTGAGAAGCTTCTTGTGACCGAAGTAAATGCCGCAGAGATGGCAAAAGAAGTCCCGGGGGTGCCTTCGCCTCGGCTGGTACGCCTCCTTGAGCTGGCGGGATCGGCCTGGGGATGTAGCAGGTAGGGGGTCTGGGTCCTCAAATCTCTGAGGTCTTTTCTCGAGAAGATTTTTGATTGCTGGTGTTCCCAGCCTCTGGGACACATCACGAGGTCTTCTTATGAGAGCCCCAAGTTCAGGCGCACTTGCTCTTCTCTTGAGGGACAACGAATGAAGCAGCGCCTCTTTGGTGATGTTGTTAATGTTCTCGCGGGCGGCAACCTCTTGATGATCTGGAGGTGAGTCTTGCACTGGGCTTGGAGGGACGACTCTTTCAAATGACTCTTGCCGTTTAGTGGCCATGGTAGAGAACGGCATCCTGTGGTACCTGAGGGCCGAGTTTGCTGACGCCGTGCGGCACAGGGGCTGATGACCGTTCCTTAAAGCCACGCCTGGCTGTCGTGTGAAATTCTGGGACATTCTTGGATGTATAACAGGGATGAGTGGAGGAGGTCTGCCCAAAGGCATACCATCCCTCTTCGCCCTACTCAGGCCCAGTAACAAGCTCTTAGCGTGCTCATCTGACCTGCCAGTCATTTCAAGCGCCGAGAAAGCAGAAAATCGACGCCTCAGTACATCCGAGCTAGGAATCCTCTCAATCGATTCAGGGTTTACTTTTGTTGCTGGTGAGAATGATTCTAACTGCTCGGACGTGCGCCTTTGGTCGCTGAAATTCCCTTCGCGTTCAAACGTTTCGTGACGTTTCGGAAGGAAGATCCTTGTCTTTGCCTCTGGACCGACCAAATAGTTGCTTTTCCCTTCATTATACCAATCGTCCGGTTCTTGTGGAGTGGGACTACTTTCCTCTTTATGATGGCGGAACGCGCCAAACGTGGGAAACCGTCGTTCAACGTACTGACGCAAATCGTCAATACGGCTCTTTACCGGGTCAGCATATTCCGCAGGAGACACATCATCTTGTTTTTTGGCTTGATAGTTATTGTCCAAATCATCATTGTTCCGAAAAGAGTCGATTTTCGGAGACCTTTCCTTTTCCGATTGACTTTGACTCGGGTTTTCTTCAGTGCTCGTGGCACTCGGAACTCGTCGGAGACTATTCGGTTTCCTTCGCATTTCCTTGGGATCCTTCAGTGAGGTTTCGTGGGATGTTACGTGACTGACGAACTCCGCGCGGTTGTCAAACGATTTTCCACAGTAGTAACACTGTAAGACGTCTAAAGAGCTGTGGTAGGAATTCATATGAATCTTTAGCAGATTCTTATGTTCGAAAGAAAGCCCACACTCGGTACAATGCGGCTTCTTATGGCAACTTTCCATATGGGCTCTAAGTTCCTGTGAGTCTGGGAATCGCTCGCTGCATACCGTACAAGGTGCGGCCAAATCGTGCGTGCGATTGTCTTGACAGGTCGGGCTTGTCCGATCATCGGGTGACGCGCCATCCAATTGGACATTGCCGAATCGATGGTTAATTTCATCTGGAATGCTATCTCTTCTTCTCGCCTCCATTTTAATTAGCAAGCTCGATTTTAATTTATCGATGGCTTGATGATTGTCAGGCCTCAGTTCAGGGATCATTTCGTCGCGATCTCCCTTTTGGTGCGAGATCAAATGATGAAGGTACTCCATTTTCGACAAGAATTCCTCCTGGCAGCGATTGCAGCGCAAAGTGGCTCGTTTTGCCGCACGCATTTTCTGACTGGCTGTTTCTGAGTCGCCGCTTTCGTCCCCTGATAGTGTGGAAGAATACGATCCCGCGGGCGACTGCGGGCTTCCCTCTAGACTGCCATCTAAGTCTGGTAGATTAGCAGGAAGGGTAAGACATGATGTAACTGATTCTTTAGGGGCCTCTTCAGAGGCTACTGGTTTGTGCTTCAAACTGGCGGGCGGGACTGTCATGGGCGGTGAAGCCCGGCTTGTGGTGACGATGACTGAAGACCGCTGCACCCGAGTAGGAGTCTGGTGATATTCAAGAGGAGGAGTTGGCAGGCGACCGTCCATTCCTTTTACGGTTGCAGCGTGGCTGCCATTTTCAGACTTTGGTGAAACGGAACGTTTTGCTTCATGCTTTAATTCAGCGGGTGAATACCGGTGAATTTCAGCCTCTGCATCTTGTCTTCCCACGTGGCTCTCTGTCTCTCTAAGCTGAGGCTCGCCTTCTTTCTCAGTCTCCATATCACCCACATCACCTTCGGTGCTGACGTCTTCTCTTGTTTCACTACTGCCGTGCGACATTGCTTCGTCGTCGTCGTCATCGTGTCTACGGAAGCCAAGCTCCCAATCACCGATTACCACGCCATTGGTCTGTTCATAGCCCTGCGTGGTTTGGTGATTTCCCCCGTGGTTTCCAGTACCACCACGTTCTGCCTCTTCAGGAGCGCTTTTCATCTCTACAAGGACATTTTCAGTCTTGTCTTTTCCACCAGTCTGCTGAGGAGGCGTGGTCGCACCCTGCTTTGCCCCTTTGCTCCCAACATTGTGGTAATGCTCCATATGCAAGCGTAGAAGCTTGTCGTGGTCAAATTTCAGCCCACAGGCAACGCAAACCGGTTCAGAGTGGTGCGCTTTGATGTGAAGTTTCAAGACGTTCGGGTGCTCGAATATGTCTTTGCACCGTGGACAGCGCACCTTTACATTGTGATGAACCCGCATGTGGATGTGAAGCAGATTCGCGTGTTCGAACTCCTCGTGGCACGTGCCGCACTTGAGCACGTGGCGCGCAGCATTCTCGTGCTGTTTGACTTCATGGATCTTGAGCGCACGCGAGGAGGCGAAGCTCTTGCTACAGTGAGAGCACATCCACATTCTGAGGAAAGAAAATCACAGATTATTGTTAGTGTAGGGAAATAAAAATATGCGGTCTCTTTTTCTCTCAAAAGGGTAACAATGGTGTTGCCATGCTTTTTCATTGCCTTTGCAGTCAAGCAGCCAAACAGCAGGGAAGGGGGGACGGGGGTTCAATGAGGGGCAACACCTGCCTATCCTCTATTTGTCTCACAGTTGACGAGAAGTTTTCGATACATGAAACTCTATATCCATAGTCTATAGACAGATGACTACATGGGTACTCAGAGGGGGTGGGACAACAGCAGTTTGGAACTTGAAGCCAATTCAGTTCCAGATTGGAGTCAAAATGAAACAGGTGTTTGGAACACCCACATGTATTCCTGGGCAATTGAAGCAAAAGAAAACAAGTGAGGAATCATGTGCACGTTATTTACTGTGCATTCATACACTGACAAAATTATTGAAAATTAGCCCAGTGTACCTCTGAAACAATAACACAAGCTTAGACAAAAAGTTGTATGTTGCAAACAAAAATGAGATTTGCATGCCTGGCTACACGATATGCACACGAAAAATCCATTTGTGTCACATTACAGACTGTACCAGTTGTGGAACTGGTTCCGTTTTAAGCCATTTACTCCACTAAACAACTAAACCACACATTATTATATTCAGTTGAACCTCTATAAATTTTTTTATGCAAAAGTGTAGCTTTGATCAACAAATCAACAGAACTTTAAAAACGTCGTTTTAAACTAAAATGCTGATATTACATTTTAGTGCAACAAAATAAAACTCAGTTATCCCCATTCTTACCCATTCAATTGCTGAAAGGGCCTATTTTCATTTTTAGGCTTCACGCTGTTTTGATATGGGAAAATATTTGGCTGCATTTTTCAAATCACCAAAACAACAACAGATTCAATGATGTCAAGGAAAAAAAATAATTGCTTTAGAATTGATTTGTTTTATTTTATTTACAGACATTTAAAAACTACCCTAAAAATGCAGACAGGATGCTTCTTCAAGTTGTGAGATATATTTGCCAGCAGGAGGTCCATACTGAGAAATACTTTGCCAAGGTCTTGAATACAGCCTGAGGCCATAGGCAAAGGACCTGATTCAAGGCCAAGGATAAGGTTTTGCTTGACACAGGCCTCCTGCCGGCAAATAACATTTTTATTGTATCTTATTTATTTTTTTCGTTTAAAAAACCTGCCAAAATTATATTGTGCAAACGCACAAATTTTGAAATCATGAAAATATACAGAGTAAAAAATCCTTTCAAATTTCTGGTTCATACTCAAGAGCAAGGACAACTGTTACAGTTCCTCAAATTGATAGCTTTAATTGTCTGAATCCATACGCCCTTTTTGTTCCATCCATGTCGCGGTTTTTTTGTAACTCGACATAGCCTGCATAGTTTAAAATGAACCAAAACCTAATGTTTCAATCAAGGGGATGTGAGTGGTCTGTAACTCAGGGTTGGTAATGTGAAAATCTGCAGTTCAGCATTCAATACTGCTGAGATGCTCGAAAAAAAAATAATTTCAATTACTCTGACTTCCTCTTGTTGATCGTCTGCCTTACCATAATTTTTTAAACAGCAGATTGAGCCTTGAATTCAGGATATAATCATTTACAATGCCCCTTGGTCTTGGCATGAACTGCATATGCCATACAACAACTTCTCGAAACTAAAATCTGCATATTAATTAGACAGTGAATTCAGGGGAAAAGTACTAGAGAGTGCACACTTGTTTTTCCTCTGTTTGTGATTTATCTGTCACCTAGTTTACATGAGCCTCAGAAGAAAGATTTTAGGTTTCTTTAGTTCCAAAAAATGCAGCACATAAGTGCAAGCTAGCTACATGTGACCACATGTACTCTAAAAACCATTTTGCAACCAGAACAATGAGAGTGAAATAATTTCTCTGTCTATCTGAGGCTAAACCTGCACATTGAAGAGTATTTTGATATTTTTTGGGACAGCATATTAGTTCCTATTTTCTGGTTTCCTTTTATCTGAAGGGAAAATGTTCAGATTTGCAAAATGACTTGGCTGCATGAATTTGAGTACACTGCAGGCGCCTTTAAATGACCATGTGAAAACGTGCATCAAATTTACTGATTTAAGTGAAACATTTCTAGCAACCAGTTCCAACAGGAGGCCATTTCAGTTGGACAAAATGGGTGGTCACAAAAGGACAAAAGGAGGTTCAACAGTATAGCACACTAACAAATGCAAAATCTATAATAAATTCTTAATGTGTTTGGAGTCCTGACAGGAAAAGCAAGTTATTCACAATACTAGCTAATAAGTGTTTATTCACTCCAACCATGAAATGGTAAAATGGCAAAATGATGAAATGACACTATGGATAAGAGTCAATGTGGGATATGGGTGTCTGTCAGGGTTGACCCTTACAATAATAATTGTTACTGAGAGCTAACCATTGTCGAATCAGTGATATTTAGGCTAACCTGAGCACTATTTAGGCTAACCATAACGCCATTTCTTCATTTTGTCATTTCATATTTTAAAAAATGCCCTATTCACGTCGATGAGAAGATCATTGAAACCTACGTTATTATTAGATCATATTACTTTTTAGCAGAAGAGAACTGTGATCTTAGCTGGCTTAGTATTAAATTACGTTATGCTCAAAGGGAATACACAAAAATCGGCAACAGTTGGCCAATAAAAAAAATTATGATTAACTTTATAAAACAGGCTAGAAATCACTGTTGTTTCACGTCACTCACCTGCAGCATTCAGTGAGATTATGCATCTTTGCGTCACTGTAGTTCTCTTTTTCCTTCTTTTTTGTAAATGTCTCAGTATTGTTAGCCATGGTTAAATGTTTGGTACTCGATTGTTCTACACCATTACAAGTCATGATGTCAGCAGCAGTTCTTTCTGCTTTGTCCTCTGTACTTTCTGGCATAAAAAGTTCCTTTAACTTGAATAATCGAGGTTCCTTGGTTTAATTCTCTGTCAGCAGCACCAATCTCACCAGCTTAGCATTGTTAACTAGTATATGGTTTATTTCATATTTGGCCTTGATCTGCAATATTAAATGAGACAGGAATATTTAAATGCTATTTCAGATGAATCTTGTTCACCCTGACAGTTTAAGATAGATTCGTCATTAGCATTACCAACAAAGGTAACAGATGTCGAGTAACAGATCAAAAGAAACAAGAAAAAAGCACACCAAACTTTGCACATTATCTAATGCTGGCACATCAAGAGTCTATTTAAAAATAGAGTTTCCTGAGAGGGGTAAGGATATTGCTTAATTTATAACTGCATCACACAACATCACAGCACATAACAACGTTGGTCACTGTAATCCAATGTGCAGATGTATCACTGACATCTCAAATATAGAAATTCCATTGATATGATCAAATTAATCAGAAAAATATAAGCACACCAAGCCAGATTGCAGATTTTGAGTTCAGGGAAAAATAGTTCATAGAAAAATACCAGTAACATACCAATATAATTATGCAATACTCTGTCTCATGACATATATGGTCCTCACAGCTAATTTGGAAAATATAATAATTATTTAGCGACTGAATTGGAAATTTTGTAATGAAAAAGATTATAAATGGATTTCAGTACCATATTTTATGTACATGTACATGTACAAACCTCGTTAAAGCTAAAATTAAAAAGGTCTCACTGCATCATGATCAAACACAACACATCACAAGTAAAGTTAAAATAACCAGCTTGGATGATTTACATGTGATTCTTAACAGACATTAAATCCCATGCTTCACTCATGTGATGTTGTATGTGACAGTTATGAATCAAATGAACAATATATATTGTGACTCTAGCTTGATTTTACATGTACAGTGAACTATAAAATTGCTACAGTGTTCTTCACTGCATGTAACTATCAGTACTTCTTATCAGCACCTCAGATAGTACAGCTGTGGATTCACAGCCATAGCCAGTACGAGGCCAACCATTTGCATTTTTATTGTTTTTCTTTTTGAAGGAGGAAAGTGAAACACTGCTAAAAACCTAAAGGAAAAGAACTTAACCACAGACATTGCCTTAGTCATTACTTTTTTCCGGCTACAGCCCTGGGATCAATAAAATGAGATACAGCTCCTACTGATACAAGTATGTACAATAACCATCCATCGCAATTTGTGAATTATTACTAACAGTGTACCAATTCCAATGTCAGCGATAAAATCAATGTCCTTGACAACGTTCACTGTTGCCTTTAACTTTTGTAAGAAAACTTAACAATAAGAATTAAGCACCAACTCAACTGCACTAGGTGGTGGTGAATTCTTTAGTTCAGCGCAATTGGGGCTTAGCCTGGGTTCTTACATGGGGTTGTGCTCGGTTCTTTCCATAACAAACTGAGTCAAATTGGCACTTTATCAGGAACACAGCTTTTTTTCTTTACAAAGCATGTGGGCAAAATGCTGAAAAAGATATCCTCCCAAGAACTCAATGTGTGCTATACTTTGACCAAATATCCTCACACATGTGATTCAGTCACATGAATGACTGTATACATTCTAGATATGGTTGAACGATAGCTGATAGTACCAGCTGAGGTTGAAGGAAACCATCACTGATTTATTTTGCAATCTGTCAGGTACAGTAACTATAGTAATACTGTACATATATAACATATATAGTTTAATATGTATGTTCCCACTGATGTTGGCTATAAATAGAATTGCCTAATATAGAGAGAACTTTTTCCTTTTTCACTCTGAATAATATTTTTGTGGAATATTGTCCAAGAGAAAAATGATATCGCATTTTTACCCCCTAGAGTACAAGCATTTTAAGAAGTTTCAGACAGTTTTCAAAATAGCAAAAAGAAAGAAATGTACTAATAGCAAATGACTCTTTTTTCAGCTATATATAGGCATTGTCAGATACATTTCATGACAATATGTAAGTAGCATAATAATTATTTACTAGCTATTATTTATATTACAGTAAGTAATGACATCTGAAGTAACTATTGATTGAGAAAATGTCCTCAATTGTCAAGTACAAGATTTGAATACTGCGTCATCTTTATGCACTTGCTGAAGCTTAAAATCACGAAAGCAAATGTGTTTGCTGAAGGAACAGATGTCATGCAATGCTGTACAGAAGTCTTAAGTTTCAGGAACAGAAAATGAAAAGACTAAATGGAAATTTAATATCATTCCTGAAAAGGATGTATGTAGGAAACAAGCTACAGGAGAAAGAGAGAGCTTCCTTAATAATAATTTGAGAACTACTGCATAGTTCCACTGTTCCATCTTTTAATTTATGGTGAATAATTTTTAACTTGTCTGGTAAATTTTCATAACTCTGCAATATGATCTCCAAACTAGATAATTAACCACATCTCAGTGGTTTACTCGATTCCTTAGATGCATTCCCAGTAATATTACTTACTATTCTGAACAAAGACCTTATCTTTGCTTGTAACAGTTATGCGATATTAATCCTTACATGTATGCAAATCGTGTAATATTGAAATGAGTTTTAAAAGAATTTCATCTGACAAAAACTTTAAGTAAGAAAGTGGTTTTCACGTGCGCAAAAATTAATTGAGGACTGAACACGCTACGAATAAAACAGTTATTGGCCCCTAAAAAGAAACTGTATTGATTTATGTATTCATTTTGTAGAGCTTCCAGACACGACTTGATCGCAAATGCTTGGTACACTGTCTGTAGATCGACAAAAAAATCACTTAAGCATGCACAAAGCTTACGCGAGGGCACTGTCATGGAAGATCGAATTTTGACAAATCCATCGGCTTAACGGATTTCATAACCGCGCTAAAAAATACTACAGTGATTGGATTTCAATAAGGGTAATTAACCTCTTCATTGTAGCACCTCCCGCGAAAATCTAGCCTCTTTTGTACGACGTGGTAAGCACTCAGTGTGTCACGAGTACGAGTAGGAATATCAAAGGTCGATACTGCTTCAATCACTTCTAAGGAAGAAAAAATTCTGCTTAATTGGCTTTCGCTTCACAATTCTAACGGCAAAGCTTTGTCCTTTACAGTGCAGCAAGAAGCCTTTAATACAGCCTGTAAGTCTTTTCAGACACTTCGCTTACGTCAGATCAGTCCAACGATAGAGAAAAATTTTCTTTAGACTGTAGGGACGCTTACGAGATGCGACCATCATAAGCTTTTGACCACCTGTGTAAGTACTTTCGTTCACAAATAAGAACGAAATCTTTACAACAGCAGCAACGAACTATAGAAGCAAACTCTGCGTTTCTTTTTTTCTGGATAGAAATATTGAGTAAGCAATTTACCGGAGGTCACAGATTCACTATTCAACGAGGGAAATGACATCACCGACTCGTACACACATATAAAACGACGCGTCGAATACGACGAGACAAGTGGACTTACCTGGAACAAAACATTCGCTGAGTATCAGAATTCCTATCGAAGGTATAAACACTTTTACGGCCGTTAATAATTTGTACGCTGATTATAACAGACGGAGCGACGAACAAGGTTCACAACCATCAAAACCTATTGAATTACGAAAACTGTGACTTCATCAAATGTAAATGAGGCCATGATGACGTGTAGCAAGTGGAATTTGGGCGTAAAACTTATTTTGGTGGTTGAAACGTGACGGAAGTTAAGTCGGTTTTCGACAAAATGTTGCACAAAGTCAATAATTAACGCTTTGGGAAGTTCCTCGTCACTTAGAGTGATCATGACGAACCATTTGCATGCACATATCCTGTGATCAATTCAAGTTTATAACAGTCTAAAAATATCACAGTTTCCTTTGCTTTTGATTTGCTTACCGGAAGTAAAATTTCAGTTCGTGTCTTTCTAGATTGATCGAGAGGTGTGAATAAATATTAAAAATATGCGTAAACCTAAACAATAAAATTTGTGGACAATTACTCACTAACAAACACGTGTAGTCCATTTCAAAAGCTTTTCATAAACAACGGCCTTTGTACGTGCGATAAGTTTCCGTAAATATATATTGAGACACTATTTTGATCTGCGACAGAAGCGTAGCGACTATCTATCAGACAGTTCATCTCGAATAGACAAAGATGAAAGATGAGAAAGATGTCCTGTGCTTCCGCTCCAGCTAATGGTACCCTCATTTCCCAAAACTTTACCTATCAAAGCGATGCAACCTTTTTACACTTCCTATTCGTTGCGAAACTCCTCGCCCATTTTCAACCGTCGTTGCCTTGCGAAACATCTAGAAATTTCTAGCGAACCGGAAATAATAGTAATAATAAACAGAAAACTGTAAGTACAATAATATTTCGAAGTCGATGCTATGTTTAGATCCATTTAATCGAAGTTATTCTAAAGAACAAGAAATATATATATTTTTCATTCTAACGAGGATTCTAATACGAAGATTTCAGCTGTTACAAATTTATAAGCTTATCTCTTGACAGTATTTGTACAATGTTACTTTCTACCAGTACTAGTCGTGCGTGATGCGTGGGTGTATGTGTATCGCAACATGTTTTATAATTTACGATAAGGGGCATTGTCATCAGAGACAACGATTTAAGACTGAAACATTCTGAAGGTTAAAAAACAATTCTCTCGTTAATTTTGCGTCACCAGGAGGCAGAAGTGATCGTCAATTATTTTATAAATCTGCACGCCAAGTACTCGGCGCAAAAACAGACCCAAAGGGTTGAAAATCACGCCAGAAGTCTTAAAAGAACTAAAACCCCGTAAGAACACAGCTTTGTCCAAAAAAAAAAAAAATAATAATGACAAATACCAGTGAAAGCCCATAGTACATACATCCCTGCTTTGTTTTGTATTCTTTCCCCTGGGGGTTCTGACAAGTGAATCCCTGAGGTATTTTTCAGGGTATTGCCCGAGATTAAAATAGAAACAAAAACAGAAACTGAACTTTAAAAATAGATTTAAGGGTTTTGGTCTTTAAAAGCAGCTAATTTTAGGGAAACTACAAATCAAGGAACAAAAATGACAAGAAAGCATTGTTGTCTACGGGGTGACTTTTAATGAGAATAAAGTTTAATTCAAAATTTTTCACTGCCTTCTTCTTTTATCTTGCCACACTGGAGCAGACATACTGAAAACTGTCATTGAGATAGAGGGTCTTGTATAAAAAAAAACTGCTACCCTGCTAGTTGGACTGTAGCTAGTAGCACGGTAAACCAGGACACTTGCTCAGCAAATAAACAAACAAACAAACAAATAGATGTTTAAAATCAACTACATCTTCATGGCCTTTGGGGCTATAATACAAGATTTTTGTCAACTAATCTCATTAAAAACACCCTAAATCCCTTGGACAAGAATATAACCATGGACATTATTTCAATCTAGATACTCTGCTAGCAGGGTAAAAAATGCATTTATTATTATTATTTTTATTTTTTTTTACAAATTCAATCACAAAAATCGTGTGAAAGTTATTTCAGTCCATTAAACACCCTGTTAACCATTAAACATGTTACCAGTATAATTTGTGATATGTACACAATGTAACTCAAACAATGTGACAAGGCAGGCAATATTCTGGAAATTGCAGGGGAAACGCAAGTGCGGCTGACCAAGAAACAACCAGAGGAGATCATGTGTGCATGGGTGGCATCTTCTAGGCTTAAAACCGGACAAGCACTGCCTGACTCACTCATGACCCCAGCGGCTGGTGTAAAACCATTAATGTCCTATGCTCCCAAGATAACGACGGGGATAAGGATATACATGTAGCAGATTAATACTTCTGCAAGTCTTCTTTGCAGTTATATGCACTCTGCACCAGTGTCACAGATGTCTTTAGTTTGAATTACACTTTAGCCTCAGATTTTCTTTCATTATTGAATTTTAACACAATATTTGTTTCATTTTCATTTAGTTTCTGTCACTTATATCTTGAGGAATTTCTGATTCATATTGGCAAGACTGAACTTCATAATGTGGTCATTAGTTTCATAAAAACGTGATTTGTAAAAATGGTTTTCAGATAAGACATTGACTGAGCTTTTGTTTGGGCAAAAAAGGCAATAAAGACAAGGTAGTCATATCTATCTCTTTACCCCTGAGGGCTACAAGTAGAAATGTCATATATATTCCAAAACTGACAAAAATTAAACCCAACAATACCATAAACTTTCACTTGAAATATGCCAACCCTATAGGACTTCGTGGGCAACAACGTAGCAACCACTTTATACCACATGGTAAAAAGGACCATTGGAGTTCATTCACTTAGACTATTTAGGACATTATAGATTGGTCCCAAAGGTTGTCATTCATTTGATCAGGTTCAAGAATGGCAACCTCTTACTGGTTCCAATTTGAAAGTAAGCAATTCACCGACTCTTGCTTAAATCTGATTGGCTTGTTGTAGAACAAGAGTAATCTGCATATGCTTTGAAAATTGGCCCCTGACAAAAGTTGCAATTCTTGCTGCTGACTAGCCTGTGTAGGAAGCGTTCTGTAGAAGAGGACAAAAGAGCAAAGTCTGGTTGCACAAAAATTGGCACAAGAACAAAAAATCAACAGAGTTGAGAGTGGTGGGTGCTTCATCAATTTTTTTGCTCTTATCCCAATTTTTCACACTGCCAGAATGTGGAAACAGTTCTTCATTCCTACAGGAACACTTGCTATACAGGCTACATGTTGGTGCTGGCCAAAGTATAGTGACTTGTGGGGACAAGAATGACTCATGACTAGAGGAGAAGAATAAGTCGTTAAGGAGAAAGTCTGTAAACAGTACAACAAAATTTCCTGGAACTATCTTTCATAATATGAACTATTGTGTCTTTTTCCATCATTATGGAATGATCAGCATCCTGTTTCCATTTGCTGATGGCAGATTCATGTATAAGACTTCCTGTTTGATTGTCATAAAGTCCTATTACTCCACAGGGTGTTTCCTCTGAATCATTTGATGACAAAACCACTAGGACATCTAATTCATCTTCATAGTCCACATCTAGAACTGTCTCAAAGCCTGGATTGTTGAACACTTGGTCTTTTCTAGCCTTGATTTCTCGACCAGAAGAAGTGAATTTCACTGTTTCTGTGCAATTTTTCTCGTTTTTCAGACTTAATGCAAAACAGTTGCTCAGTTCAAACGTTGATGTCTTTGACTCTAACTGGCAAAGCTTCAAACATCTGTGACAAAATAAAGCTTACAGTCAAAATAGCCAAAGCTGTCAACTTTAAAAATTACAATATAAGAACATCTACTATTAATGTAGAGCAGTTTTGACTCTTGGTTTCAGATTTCAAAAGTTGACCTGTATATTGTAAGCATGCAACTACAACCACAAGTAGATAGTAAAAACTCACTGCGCTTTTCAATAACATGCTCAACTGACAAATGGATTTTTTGCTACCAGCAATCAAATGTTCAGTGGATCCTCACAGCTTCTGACTACTGCCGAGCACTGTTTTGTTGTCTGAACTGTGCTCAACTATTTGATTACTGCATGCTTGGCAGAAGTTGCAAACTGGGAGGAGCCACCTAACATTGGATTGATGGTGGCGAAAAATACATTTGTCGGTTGAGCTTTGAATTTTAAAGTGGTATGTTATTGAAAGGCGCAGTAAATTAAAAATCAAAATCTTGTTACACATTTGCAGCCTGTTGCAGAATACCGGTAGTTCTTTAATCTTCAACAATTTGCATTTCAGAAATAGCTGGGTAAGTTAAATGATTGATGTGAAGACAAAATTGATCATTGCAGTTACACACACAACTTAAGCAGTTGTAAAATTAAAACCTGAAAAAAATTCAGGCTTGAATGGGATTTGAACCCATGACCTCCACAATACAAGTGCAGTGTTCTACTAACTGAGCAATCAAGCAACTTGGAGTTGGTCACTTTGTGAATTCGTAACATACCCATAGAAGGTGAAGATACAAGGGAATTTTATGATTCACTTGTATCTTCACTTGTGAATACATATGAATATATGATGAATTTATATGTGAATTTAGTATAATTTCAGAGCTGAACAAAGAGTTTCCAGCAATCTGATTGGTTCAGCGATCCCTTACATGACGTTATTTAAACCACACTAGGCAGTTTATATAACATTTTTGAGACCTGGCTACTAAGCTCGCCACCTTTGCCATCTCAGTAAGTAAACATGGCGGACAGTTGGTGAATGAATTTTTCATCTATTTAGAAGATATCACTCTAAGTCCAGGATTTGAAAGGATGGAGAATTTTCAAAATGACTGCTGTTATCCTTGGACCAAAAATCCTTTCAAGAACTCGTGTTCAAGGCAGTTAAGAATTGTAAATGCAGTGGTTACGTTGATTTGCCAGCAGGTCAGATCGATTGACCAAAATCTGTTTTTATCCAAACTAAAGCCACTCATTTTGAGACGATGATGACAACTGTGGATGAAGTCAACAGCGATTTTACTGCCGAACTTGACCAGTAAAATGGTTCATAATCGATGTAAGCTTACATGTAAGCTTCTTATTAAAGCTATACGGCTGCATACGTGTATGCAAGTGAACAACTGGGTCCCTGTTTTTATGTTTTAGTCTGTATTCTCTGTTGTTCAGCTCTGACATTATATTAAAACAATTATTCGCCTCAGGCTCAGTGAATATTGTCAAATAATCCCCTCAACTTTGTCTCGGGGATTATTCGACAACATTCACCTCGCCTTCGGCGAATAGTTGTTCCATATGTTTAATTTGTGCATATAACTGCGAAGATCAATCATGTCTTGATATCTTTCTCCACAGTTCAAATATATGACATTTCATTTATTCACTTATTAAATAATTGATGACGTTCCCAGTAAATATTTGTGGTTGGTTGGTCAGTCAGTCAGTCGGTCAGTCAATCAGTCAGTCAGTAAGCCCTTATGGGGGAGCTTCAATTATAATATTTACTATTGTTTGTATTGTATTGTAAGTATGTATTGTAAGTCAGTCACTCAATCAGCTGGCCAGTCAGTCAGTCAGTCAGTCAGTCAATCAGTCTGTCCTTCAGTCAGTCAGTCAGTCAGTCAGCCAGTCAGTCAGCCAGTCAGCCAGTCAATCAACCACTCAATCAGTCAATCAGTCAGTCAGTCAGCCAGTCCATCCATCAGTCAGTTGGACAGTCACTTATCAGTTAGTCACTACTCATGTAACAAGTGTATCATGTACTGTGCTGTTTTCAGCTGAATAGATATCTGCAGTATTAAATTTCCTTATATTAGGTTAGGGCCTGACTAAATTAGAAAACATGGTTGTTGTGGGAACAAACCTTTTCCCAGTTTCACCACACTGAAGAAATTGTTTTAGATTTATAACTTAGGTCAGGGAAATATATGTTTTTTGAATCATATATGTTTTTTAATCACTGTTTTGAAGCATTGTTGTTGTTGCTGTTGTTGTTTCCATGAGACAAGAGTTAATGCCTCTGTGCTTCTGTTTCTGCGGCAATGCTTCCGGGCGTACAACATTTGCAGACCACAGACTACATTTAGGACTAAATAGTACTTAGGCTAGCCTGAATAGCACTCAGGTTAGCCTGTTTGTGGGCATGCAATATTAGCGGTCTGCAGTCTGCAAATGTCAAACACTGCAATGTTTCTTGGTCTAGCCAAGGCCCTGCACATAACTTTTTGTCTTACTTAATTTCGTGGGCACCAATATGAAGAATGCGACCACTGTTATCAACATGAAAATAAGCCTGATCTGGTTCCAGAGATACCATATCCATTTCCAAAATTCCACTCTTTGCAAGCTTTAAGTCTTTTACCGAACGAACATGAAAAGAACTGCTACAAGACTGTGGACAAGAAATGTAATGCCATGGGTATCCTCCAAATGAGATGACATGTTGATAGCTGCAAATCTCAAACAAGACAGCAGGTTTTGAAGTAAATGACACGTTGACAGGAAGCCCATGTGGTTGCTCTCCAACAATGAATGGATTACCACTTCCATCAAATGGTGAAGAATACGTTTCCTGATAAGCATTGTCAGAGGGAGATGCCCTACATGTGTTACCCAACTTAGTGGAAAAGCTGTAGTTTTCCATAATTTCCCACATGTTGTAAAATCTGATTCTATTTGAATGGTGCATGACCACCAGAAACCCATTGCTTGCTGCGGCATCAACAATATCCTGGCCAAATATGCATTTTTCGATTGGCATAAGGGCAAGGAACTCTAATGGAGCCATCAAGAAAATCGACAAAAACATTAAGGGTCGGCTCTGACTGGAGAAATGCACAGACTTAAGCGCAATCCTTTGTAAATCGGACTCCCACATTATGTGCTTGAATCTGTAATGTTTTGACAAGTACACTTTCTGCAAGACATCACCAGTGTTTAAATCATGTCGTATAAGCCAACCATCTGCCGTGACAGCAATTAAACAGGGCTTATAACCTTTTGATTCGGTGCAATTTAGATATGAGCGCTGATCCACCGGGCTCTCAAATACCAGGGCAGACTCGATCTTTCTTGAATTTTCACAAGCAGAGAGTTTGTACAGAAGCTCCGGTTTTCCATCAAAACCAAAACTAGTGTAGCATGTCCTGAATTTGTCGAAAAACAAGTGTTGACTGTCAAATCCAACAGGATGTTTAGTGCTTTTCCACCAGACCTCATAAAACTTGGAGCCTTCCTTTTGCACCAAAGATCGAATGATTTTCAGATCTCTTCGAAGATTGGAACCAAGGAGGCCATTGAACGATCTACGAAGAACCTGGTAACAAACGTTGTTTCTTTTCGCATTTTTTCGACGAAAGGGAAGGTTGTGATAAACACCAAATGTCGTGTTCATAGTTAACAATAAAGCAATGTGACAAATTTTTACAACTCTCTAACGACCACGGGTCTGATAGTAATTACATGACGTACCTACCGTTGCAAAGAAATACCGCAAACCAAGAGAACTGTAGGCTCAAGAACGTCGATAAACGTCCTCTCGAGGAAGAAAACAGTAGAAACAGACGTAGAAAATCACCTGAATCCACCATGAGTAAGACCCATCCACCGGAATTAAAGAAGTAAGTATATCGGCTATAAAATTTGTTTTGTGTTTTGAAGATATTTTGATCAGAAAACATCTAATCCATAATTAAAGGAACCGATAAATGCAAGTTGTTGCAAGATCTAGATGGCCGCGCGCCTTGTATATCGTTCGTCACAATCGTTTTCTGATCTTTCCTATAAAAAGGCCAAAAAGCTTTCAGCCGATATTTCATGACCTGATCTGTAGCAGATGCTTGCAGCATGTTGCTTTTGATGAGAAGAAAACACTTGGTTTCTTTGGTGATCAAACTTCACAACAAGCTGTGCCTGCTGCAGCAAGATCCAGCTGACTTGACGTATTAACGATAACTTTGTTGGTACCATTGGAAACAACTAAACCTGAATGTGTCAGCAAAGATATTCTAGATGTAGTTGCCTTGAAAGCTATAACCTGTCATTCTTTTCTGTTTTATTTTAGATACATGGACAAAAGACTATCATGTGAGTACATTACAACTAATATATGAAGGACCAGAACAAAACTTGACGAAAGCTTGGGAGTGAAAGCTTTTGTTAACAGTTCTTGGCTGTCGTCGATGCAGGGTCAAACTGAGTCGAGTCCGTGAGAGCTCCTGTGAACTCTCAATCTCATCTGTTCAATGCATAATGCTGTTATAGAAAACAATACATTAACATTGAACACTGTAACATAATCTTTGATTGTAACAGAGTTGTCAAAAGTAGCCAGCAAAAATAATTTATAATCTACTTCATGATCTCTGCCGGCTACTCTGCATACTATTCACCCTATCATTTAGAGACAATTTGGCTAAATCAACTGCTTACTCCGATATTTACAACACGATCTAATTCAGAACGTTTTACAACCAAATCTGTGCATTTTGGTGGCATCATTTTATGAAAGAAAATTAATTTTGTCCAATATTTTTACATAGCCTCATTCAAACATTTTGAACAGTTTGGGAGAATAGGAAAGGACTATTTTAAATTATATAAGCCCTTTTCCTCTGGCTTGAAATTCTCTCAAACTTTCTCAGGCTATTTCAGGTTATTTGAAATTGCATTTCCTGTTGTGGAGTGTTGTCTTATGTGATGAAATGTTTCTTTTACTTGGTTCTCAGTGAAACTTAATGGTGGTCGACATGTGACAGGAGTTTTACGAGGATTTGATCCTTTCATGAACCTTGTACTGGATGAAGCTGTTGAGGAAGTGTCAGCGCAGGAGAAGCATAACATTGGCATGGTGGTAAGTAACCATTGGCTCTTTGTAATGACAAGAAAGGTATACTACTAATATAGACTGTTCACAGCTTCTCTATTTTTCAACGCACACAAAGGAAAGAAGGAGCATGAATGCGAAGCACAAGGGGGTGGGGAAGCGAGCAAAGCAAGCCAAATGAAGATCTCCACCTCCTACCATAAAGTCTCCCATCCTGCACTGGCATCCAGTTCTCTCGCAATTGTACCTGTGCGTTCAATGATCAAACAAAAATACGAGAAAACAGAGTGCTGTGAACAGAGTGCTGTGAACAGTACTACCAGGGCTGTCAATAAGGGCTGTAACCTGTAACACCTGCTACAACTGAGCATGTTTGATGGGCCCTTGATGTTATGGGTGAACTTGCCTATAGTTGATACAATTCATTCAAAAGGTAACAAGTTTGTTACGAGTGTGAAGATCAAGGCTACATTTAACTCAAAACTTAGTGACAGCCCCAACTACTAATACTGCCTTTTAAAAAAGGATTTACATGAGCATTTCAAATTTTTTTTTTCTAGGTGATCAGAGGAAACAGTATTGTCATAATGGAAGCGCTGGACAGAATATTATGACAGGATACATGGATTAGTTTTCTCTAGCTTCTTTATACAGTTACTGTAAAGCCTTGCTGCTTGTAAATAGCTCTTTCGTGTGCAAGTTATGTTGCCTACAAACTGACATTGACACTTGGTCATTTCCACAGCCAAGAGAATCTGTTGTTTTTAAGGTCTGTAACAGACTGATACAATCTCTAGACAGGCTAGTTGTAATGTGCTGACAACAATCATTGTATTTCCATTTTATATAAATATATGGACCTGTTAATTTATTTGAAATTAACAAAATAAAGTACATGTATTGTCCTAAACAATGTCTTTTCTAATTTTGAGCTGCAATGAGCTGTGGTTAGTTCGCAAACGATCAGAGGCACCCCAAGTCACTTAACATTGTTTAGTTGAATCCTCTCTTTGCTTATTGCCCAACATAAAGGAAACAAAATCATGTGATGAGGAAAGGCTGAACAAACACAATCCCGCGACTTGAAAAGGCTTAATTTCTGATTTGTTCATTGCATGCTGTTTCCATAACACTTCTATTTGACTGACAGCAACTGTCACAGAGTATTACCTTCCCTGGTAAAGAGAGAGCACTTTTTTTACCTGGAATATGTCCTTGGAACACACTAGTGTTGTGCAAGTCTTTGCGACCAATTGTTTTTGATAACAATCAAAATATTACTTGTGACTTGTACTTGTTGCTACGAGACAAATGGGTTTGCAGAAATGTGATAAAATTAGACAATACAGTGTTGATGGCAGACTGCAGAGATTTATGTTTGAAAATGACAATATTAACCCAAGAAGGAAGTTGAGGGCTTGTATGCTATTTTAGAACAAAACATTTACAAGAGCAACCCTATAAGCCCAGTGGCAGATCTAGGGCAGGTCCCCCCCACCCCCACCCCCACCCCCACCTCATCTTGGGTGAAAAAAAATCACAGAAAGAAGAAAAGCCATCAGGGCAAGCAAGCAGGTCTGGATCTCCCACTGAAGCCAATATAATATTGCAGACAGCATGAGTTTACTTGATAAGAATAATTCTCATCAAGTAAACTCATTGCTTGGAGCTTGCAAATTTGCATTGAGATGTCATTCCTTGAGGATAGACATATTTATGTCTGCAAACATTTTGCAATTTAACTCAAAGAACAAAGAAACAGCTTCCTTTCCCAATCTCAAATCACTTTGCATTTACTTGTTTCTTTACCGAACTCTTAGTTTCTAGAGTTTTCTTCTAGAAAACAACTAAAGTCAAATTCAAGCACAATGGTTGTTTCATTAGGCCAGTGCTTATTTCCAGTTTATGTAGCATGCTACAACTAAGAATATTTCAATCCCCCCTTGCCTATGCAGGCCAAAATCAGCCTTAAGAGAGAAAACTACTCTTGAAATCCAGCCCAAAAAGAAGTAACAGGAAAAAGCTGCTAAATCCAAACATAAGCTTAGTTTTGGAACTTTCTGATAGATTAATACAGCTGTTACTAAGGTTAGCAAAGAGAACTTGTTTTAACACGCCTCACGCAAATACAAAATGTGCCTTCGTATATCAACTCCATAGTTATCTCACTGAGATATTTTATTGAAAGAGCATGTTGACATGGATGCATAAAAAAAAGAAAAAACACTTGCTATAAAATGAGAGATAGTTCTTTAAAATACCAGACTGTTCAATATTATTAAAAATAACTTACAATACTTGAAATAATGTTAAAAAGCATTTTAAAATGTTCTTTAGTGACTTTAGTCTCCCCATATCTGGGCTTTCTGGATCTTCTCTTGTTGCCTTTTGCCTACGGAAAATTAAAAACCATTAAGTCACACAAACTCCTTTGACCTTGAGGCTCCGTTTTAAACCCTGTGACCTCCATATTAGATCACTGTCGCTATAGCAATTGTCCATGAGCTACAGGGCAGAAAAGGAGCACGTTCTAGATGCTTTGGTAGGAATTGGTGGCAAAAGAGAAAGGACAAGTAAAAATTGCAAAGAATATGAATTTTTTAATATTTACTCTAAAGTTTCCTTTTCATTAGTTGTTGTGCTGAGTGGTTCAACATTCTTAGTTTTCTGAGTTCTCCAAAAACTGCCCTGGCCAGCTAATGAATGTTAATAACATAACGCTAACTCAGTCTTACTTTTTGCCTCCTTGATTTTTTCTCTTTCCTTGACCCTCTCCTCCCTGGTCATTTTTGACCTCATTCCTAGAGCACCTGTTACTAGCCTATCAGCTAATAGCTTACTGGTCTGTGGTCTCTCCCTATAGGGCTGCAGGAACTCTGAAAAAACAAACACTCATGTCAGTGGTTTAGTACATTAACCGTCTATGTACAGTTATAACTAAGTACAGGTCACGATTGCACTCAGGCCCATACTCAAGGAGTTTATCCAGGACAAAAAGTATTGATTTTCTGCCGGCTGGATTGCTTGTCCATCAAAGTATATCCAGGATTTTGTAACATCACCTCATGTTTACAAATACCCAATTTACACCAGGTGTCACAAATGCTAAACATGAGACTTCACGAGATGGTGAGATATTTTCAAAGATCCTCTTTGGCAATGAAGTGTACTTAACAAAAAGCAGTAATGGCAAACTTGGTTTGAATTGTTTCTTTTAGAACCTGTATTTGTAAGCCTACCCACAGGCCAATGTTACAATCTCCTACCAGAACAATAATGTGCCTTCTTCTTTGACTCTATTGTCCCTTCACTGACTGGCCTGAGTTTCATTACTGGACCTGAGCATAACTGTATAGCATCTTGTGCTGTCAACAGGTTTTAAAAACAATAAAATAAAACAGTTATAACAATTGAAGTGAAAGTAGTGCAAACTGTTTTCTTCCCACCTCAAATTCAAAAAGAACACTACTATATGTAAAATACAAATCAGATGTAATCAAAGAGCTCCAATAAAAACTGCTGTTTCGACTGGTACAGAGCAATTATTTATCTAACCTGCATGACGACTTGCAAAGATTGCCAGAGCATGTGTGTCATCTACCCATTTGATGTCAAACCCTTTGCTCCTGAAATAAATTTAATTTACAAAATTGAATATAATTATAACCGAAACCAACCCTTCCATTGAATAACAACATTATAAAAATGAAATCTATGACTTTCAAAGCTTTGATTTGACTCAGAAGATTACACCAAAGAGCACCATGTAGCACAAAATTTTTGCAGAAGTTTAACGTTTCAGATCGGCAATTTTCTTTATTTTGTGGGAACTAATTTTGCAGCTGTGAAAGACTGGTTTTCTTGTTGGGCATAATTTTTGTGATGTTGCATGTTAGTTGAACTACAAGATTTTCAGTTTCTTTATTTCAATACTGAAACAACATGCAGAGATGTAAAACACAGTAATCAGTGTCACATCTTGCCCTTAGTAGTGTGGCTGATTTATATAGCACCTTCAAGTTTAACATATTTAATTAATTTTTCAGCAGCTACACCTGTTAAGTGTATGCACCAAGGACAACTCTTATTTCTGAATGGTTTGTTTTAATTGCATCATTTTGTTTCAGAATGAAAGAAACATTTTTAAGAAATAGCATCAACAAGATCCTCTGATGTTTGTATGTATAATTTCACCAAAGGAGTAAAATTTTTGCAGGAACTTTTCACACAGATCATGGAAAAAATGTAAAAATTGAAATTGAAAAAATGAGAACCCAGAAAAATTTTGTGCCACACTGACAGTCTGCACTGCATTTTTGCTTGCTGACCTGAAAGTCAAATCTGATATTCCTGATCTGAATATAAAAGTAATTTAACCTAAATAAATACTAATAACAGTTTTAAGTTTTCTAGACAGATTACACAACAGTAAAATTACCAGTGAAAAAAGTATTAATAATAAAAACATTAGCTGGATTGACAATATCATTTTTTCAATATTAACTACATTTTAATTAAGAAATTAAAAACATTTTCTGTTTTTCTATTGAGTTATAGAAACACATTCAAGTGGAATATTAAGAGAACAAGTAAATGTGCTGTGGGAAGACGAGGTGACAGGCGAGTGTTCCACTGACAGCTTTTTTTCAAGAGTTCACCCAAGCTTTTACGAGTGTTTCAATATAAACAATTTGATTATGAGCTTGAGATTTCTATCATGCATAGAAATTGAGAGTGAATAATCTAATTGTTTTAGACTAGTATTAATCTACTAGCCATTCAAAACTTTATCGAAATCCTCTTCACAGACACTTCGAAAACGCCAGGAAGCGGCCAGTATTTTGTTAGCAAGGGCACACTGCTATGCTACTCACTATCTATCACAGAATAGATAGTGGGAAGCATAGCCAATCAGAGAACGGCATTTGTGATAGAACACTAGTAGATTTATACTAAAACTCAATACAGACTACAGAAAATGTTTTCTACCTTTCTTTAGAAAACAGCTCAAAGGAAATAATGAACAATTTGACTATGACGACTTTTCTGTGTTTCTATCGAGCTTTAAAAAGATGATTTTTAACCAATCAGTGCACATACTTTCTCTGGGCTTTTTTCACATGTCCTTTAATTCACATAAAAACTAGACTAAGCTTGCCAAGGTGAGAGCATCAATTACGTTAAATGAAAAACCAACAATAGATCACAAGGGTAAGAAGTAAAGCTGACACTGAAATGACTTGTTGCAGTTTTGAGCAGTTTTCACTGGGTGTCAAAATTAATTCACATTTACTTTGGGGCTGGGTCGCACTAGACCGAATTCAAGCCAATTTTGTTTGTATAAGTAATAAATCTGTCAACAAGTAGCATAAAATAAGTGCCACCCCCAGTTTAAAAAAATTGCCAAATTTTTGTGATGAGCCAAAATTTCGCCAATCTTCAAAGAAGCCGAACTGCTGCCTCGGAGGCTTCCAAATTTTGGCAAAGCAAACAATGTTGTTTTAGTTACCATTTAACTGTCATATTTCTTAAAACATGTCTGGATAAAATTACGGTGAGAGAATAACTTTGATGGCTAGTCCAGTTTGGTGCATGAGATAGCAGGACAAAATCATTTTTTAGCCGGCTCATCTAACGCTTTTTACAGTTATTTCAATGTAAACAAGAGGCATTTTTATTCAAATTCTTACGACTCGTAACCTGGATCCGGTTACTGGCAGTAATTTGAAGAGATGGCTTCAGCGAGATAATTTTCTTCGATGGCAAGTGGTGCAAGCAACAACACAAACAAAAGCTGAGCAAAATCTGCTCGTCCAATCATGGGCCGAAAATCACGAGTTGCTGTAGAGCGGAGAGAAGAACATGCAACGCGGAGAAACATCTGCGAAGAGTTAAGCTCTCGCATGTGATCTAATAAATCACTTAATTGAGAAAAATAGATCTTGTGACGTATATTTCACTCAGTAACATTTTGGTTCCAACATGTTGGTCTAATGCGACCGCTGCCAAAATTTGGAACATGCGAAATTTTTGCCAATTATTTCCTCGCCAAAAATTGGAAATATTTTAAACAAACAAAATTGGTTCTAGTGCAACCCGGGCCTTGGTCAGCCATAATTACTATGCTAAGCATCATCCAATTAGGAGTAACTGCAAAACCAATCTTTTTTTCACTCACACACATTACCCTGCTCTTAAAGTGTATATGACACAAAAATTTTTTTTAAGTATTTTCCTTCCTTGATATATGTAATAAATGAATAATGTTTTGAAAATGCAAAAATAATAATAATAATAATTTGTGGACACGAGGGAATTTGGCTTATTGATTTGTGTGTTTGCGGGAGATTTTGGTTATGTCATCCTTGGTTATGTCATCCTGTATCCTTTGTCTTTTTTGTTTTTCTATTCTAGCATAGTTTTGGTTTCACGCTTCTTTGTTTAATATTTATGTAAATTTAGGCTTACTACATTCAGGTATAAAAAGATTTTTGCTCTCTCTCTATTCGGTTTTCGGTTTTCGGTCAATAAAATGTTTCTTGTGAACATTTTTGGTAGCAGAGTGAGGTTCCAAATCATGTCAGTGAACAGCGAGCATAGCAAAGCATTGGACAAAGGAGAGGAGTGAATTGAGAACTTAAAGCAGGAAAAAGCGAAGGACAAATCGGCATTTACCAGAGTAAAGAACAAGTTGTTGTACCTTCTAGATGAAGAAGATAGTCCCAGCCGGCGGGAAGTCAAACAAGTTTGTCAAAAACTTTGCGAAGTACAAGAACGCACCATGGAAACAATGGAGAAATTATCACAAGAGTATTTACGTATCAAAGAAAAAGAGAAACGGAAAAAGCTGGGAGACGAAATGGACAAACTAGAAGCAGAATTTTCCGAAGCTCATGACAAGGCACAAGAATATTTGGACAATCGGAAGGACAAATTATCAAGTTTGGCAACTGATGCATCGGAAAATACTTGCCGACGCCAAATCGAAGAAAGCGTACAACGCAAAAGCGTGGAAAAGCAAATTCAAGAGGATCAATTCAAGCTGGAACAAGATATCACTCGTTCTAAAGAAGATTTAGAAGAATTTAATCGTCAATATCGTAGTCGCTTATTAGAAGAAGAACAGCTTCGAGATTTGAAAGAATCACCGGAAAAGTTTAAACTTGGAGGGCTGAAAACAACAGCGTTTTACGAGGAGAAATCGACAGAGAATCGCTCAAGTACGCTATCACTTGGCCAGGATATGTGGAAACAACTCAAGCGTGTTTCAATTCCC